AGATTTGCTCTTAGTGTTTGAGAACACTAGTAAGGGTTTGTAAGCAGACATGGGAAGCTTGACTGATTTTTTTTTTTTTTTAAGATTTTATTTATTTATTTGACACAGAAGAGAGATAGCGAGAGAGGGAACACAAGCAGAAGGAGTGGGAGAGGGAGAAGCAGGCCTCCTGTGGAGCAGAGAGCCCGATGTGGGGCTTGATCACAGGACCCTGGGATCGTGACCTGAGTCAAAGGCAGACTCTTAACAACTGAACCACGCAGGTGCCCAAGCTTGACTGATATTTTATTTTATTATTTATTTATTTATTTATTTTTAAACTATTTTATTTATTTATTTGACAGAGATCACAAGTAGGCAGAGAGGCAGGCAGAGAGAGAGAGAGAGAGAGAGAGAAGCAGGCTCCCCGCTGAGCAGAGAGCCCGATGCGTGGCTCGATCCCAGGACCCTGGGATCATGACCTGACCCGAAGGCAGAGGCTTAACCCATTGAGCCACCCAGGAGCCCCTTGACTGATACTTTAGAAAGACTCTGGCCACCATGTTTTAGATGGAGGGAGTTGGATAAGACTGGAATTGGGGTTACAGATTTGTCTTCACTACACTTAGATGTGCAAAGAAAGTATTTTTCTAAATTTGACCTTTCTCCTTAAGACCACCTCTCCACTTAGTAAGTGGAGAAAAAAGAAGCTACATTTAGTTGAGAGGAGGAAACTCAGATTGCTCCACTAATGTGGAAAGTCTCCTTCGGTAATTCATTTTTCCCTCTGCACCCCACTGAGTTGGAGTCTCAGTAAATGGGGTCTCACATGGCTTTGAGGGTGTGTGTATGTGTGTTTGTGTCAAATATTGAGGCAGTCTGGTGACTGTGGTCCAGTGGTGGTCTGGCTTTGCCTGGGCCATCTGTTGGCAACCGTTGCTGAAGTGCGTGGCTGCTCTAACTTGCAGTCTGTTTTCTCCCAGATCAGTCAGGGCCTGGCTGTCCGTATTGCCTACGTGGTCCCACCATGGCTCTTGCTTGGCCTTTATACCCCTTACTTTATCCCACAATAAGTTTTGATAGTGCCCTTCTCTCCATGGTCCTCCACGGTAGTACTTGCAAATGTCCACACTGCTTAGAAGCTCGTCAGGCTTTGTATGACTAACCTCAGAACTTGGCCTGCCTGCCTATCTATCTATCATCCATCCATCCATCCATCCATCTATCTATCTATATCTATCTACCTATCTATATCTATCTATCTATCTATCTATCTATCTATCTATCTATCTATCACACAACTGCTGTGACACCAGTTTTGCCGAGTTACGTGATATGGTCACCACCCATGCAGTCATCACTCCATGTTGTCATGAGAGTGGGGGGGGCATGAAGACGTTCTGTGAGGTGGCATATCCTTTAGATCCCTAACGGGAAGGTGATACAGAAACTCCTTGGCTTTTGGTTTTTGTTATCAACCTTTTTAACTCCTCACCCTCTTCTAGGATTTTAGCCCTGATTGGGAAAAGCTGTACCAGATGTGTCTCCATCTCCTGATTTCTCTTTTTACCTCAACCACTTCTCTCCACCGTTCTCCTTGTGTTCCCAACTCACTGGGACTTCTCTAGGTCATCCTGTCCTCCTTTAGGAAGAAACCCTTTAAACTCCCACTTTGGGCTATCATGGTGGCCAGGGTACAAGGAAGGAGCGAGGTCAGCTGTTAAGATAAAGGAATTTCAAATGAATTTCAAACTGTCATATTTGTCACCTGATGGTAGAACGACTGCAGTAGTCTAGGTGAGGGATAATAAAAGCCAGAAGAGAGTCCTACGTGTGAGCCTTGGTGAAACCAAATGTGTGGGTGATGACAGGGAGGAGTTGAAGATGACTTTGGGGTTCCTAGTTGGGGCAACCATTGGATAAAGATTCACTTTACAGAGAAAAGACAAGAGGAGAAGGAGTCATTGTGAAGGCAGAGGGGAGAAGGAGGAGGTTTGTGGTGTGGGAGGAAGAGAGGGAAAGTAATGATTCAGTTTGGGATCTGACTGAAATGCTGTCTAATAGGAGAAATGTGGGGCTGGCGCCTGGGAGAGAACCTGCCTGAAGAAATGGATTTGGGAAACAGGTGAGAATATCTAGGAAGAAAAGGAAGAGAAACTCACCTGTCCTTGTAAATGCTAAATTTAAAGACATCAACAAGGTCATCCCTGTTTTAATTCTTCCTTGCATTTCACAATGACCCAGTACTTTGGGACCTCTCCTCCAGGTTTCCTGCAGCAGAACACCTCTGAGGTCTCAGGGTACTGACAAGGGTGTCCATTGCTACTTCTGATGCCCAAGGGGACCTTTAAAGTGCCAGGTCTGATGCCTAGATCCATGGTATACTAAGTTCATAACAGAGTGAGGCAGAATATTCCACACAAAGAAAACTTTGATGAGTGGTTAAAAATAAATAATCTGCAGGTGCTTGCAGAGGCGCTGTCTAATTTTTCGTAACTGAGCTGAGTTTGTTAAGTGAACTCCGGGGAATGTGACATGTACCTCTCAAAACCATCATCGTTATGCCTGAGACATGGTCTAACCTTTGGGTGTCCTCTGCTAATATAATTGCCTCGCTGTCTTTGAGAGGTGGCTTCTAATTGGGTTTCACAGTAGCAGTTGCTGTCGAAGTGCGGGTTGCAGCCTTTCAATGGGTTGGGCTGGTTCATTAAGCGTTTCCTCTCCCTGGACTGGACAGCTGAGCCTGGACAGGAGCCAGCAGTTACTGAAATGCCATTACTCAGAGGACTGACCTTTAAGACACTGATTTGTTATATCATTGAGGTTCGACTTCTCTCAAATTTAAATGGAGCTTTATTGCATACAGTGCTAAACTCAATTCTTCTCACTCTCCGTGGCCTTTCCATAAGGTTATTTCCCCCTGGTTCCTAGCATTTAGTCCTCTGGCTGGACAAGGGGTTTAAGAACTAAAGACAGCTTGCCATTTACTGGGCTTGGGACCATCCGTGCGAAGTGTGGTGGATTATCGCACGGGCATGACTCAGAGTCCTCAGAGGATTGATGATTTACGTACAGGTAACCTGAGGAGAAGTCTCTTAGCCAGTTTTCTTCTTTTTGGTAAAATGTGCTGAAAATTCTTTCTTTTCCTCAAGTTCTTATTTTTATTCCAGTTCGTTAACATACAGTGTTATATTAGTTTGGGGTGTGCAGTATAGTGACTCAGCACTTCCATACATCATCCTGTGCTCATCACAGCAAGTGCCCTCCTTCTTCCCCATCACCTGTGTCCCCCATCCACCCACCCGCCTCCTGCTCTTGGAACCATCGCCTTGTTCACTGTCATCAAGAGACTGTTTCTTGCTTTGTCTCTCTCGCTCTTTTCCCTTGTGCTGGAAATTCTTATCTCTAGGATTATTGTTCTGAAGGTTTTTAATTCCTTTGGAGAAAATGAGTATATAACGGTCACACTGAATAAACAAGACCTTGAGCAGGGGTGGGTGGGAAGGTGGGACCACAGAAGGAGCTCTGTGTTCTGCTGTGGCTCTGCTTAGAGTAGCTCTGTAGCCAGTCCTCTTTATGCTCCAGGAAGACGTCCTGGGCAGGTCCAGTGTATTTTCTGATCATTCTTGTGCAATAAAAAGCTGTCCAGTCACGTTTCCTTTCCAGAAAGTCTCAGTTTGGTGATTAATGTGTCCGGCCTCAAACAGGCTGGTGTAAAGTGAAAACTTCTTCCCTGGCGCAGATTTCAGATTCAGTTTGTCACATTCTACCAAAAGTGAAAACTACTGCTATTTCTAGTGAAGTACATTGAAATTATAGATTAATTTACTTCTTAGAGGTGATAAACACATTTCCTTATTCTTAGTCTTCAGTTACTTGTATTTGTTATTGCAAAGGCTGTTTTCAAAATGAAACTTTGTGGGGTGCCTGAGTGGCTTAGTCTTGGGTGTCTGCCTTCGGGCTCAAGTCATGATCCCAGGGTCCTGGGGTTGAGTCCCGCATCAGGCTCCCTGCTTGGTGGGAAGCCTGCTTCTCCCTCTCCCCCTGCTTGTGTTCCCCTCTCTCACTTTGTCTCTCTCTGTCAAATAAATTAATAAAATCTTAAAAAAAAAATGAAGTTCTGTGTTTGTTGATATTATTATGCCAAAGTACAATAAATTTTTGTGTATTGATTTTTGTATTTAACTATTTGGTTCAATGTTCTTATTTTAATAGTTTTTCAATGAACTTTTGATACAGACAATTATATCACCTGTGAAAATGATGTTTTTTTCCTTGCTTTTCATTTCTTGTGCCTTTATCCCTTTATTTTTCTATATTGCCCTCCAGGCAGAATTAGTAAATAGAAGTGTCAATGACTGCCATCGTTTTCTAATTTTTGATTTTAGAAGTGTTGCTTGTTTTTTCCAACAACAAGTTTTATTTATTTATTTGAGAGAGAATGAGAGCAAGAGTGAGAGAGGGAGGCAGAGAGAACCCTCACAAGCCCGGTGGTGGGGGGCGGGGTAAGGGGGTGGGCAGAGGAAGCAGTGGACTTGGAGCAAGGAGCCGGACTCGGGACTCCATCTCAGGACCCTGGGATCATGACCTGAGCCAAAGGCAGATGCTTAACCGACTGTGCCACACATGCATCCCAGAAGGGTTGCTTGTAAGAATACACCAATAGATAGAATATTTATAGTAATTTTTTTGTGGATATCCTTTATTACGGTTAGAAATTTCAGTAAGGAATTTTAACCATGCATCTGCATAGAGTCTTATCCAATATCTTTTCTGTATCTAGTGAGGTGTTGTGGGCTGACTCTTACAGAAGGGTATTAAGATGCAGCCTATTGTATCTTCTAGGTGCAGTCATTGCCAAGTGGATTGGGGTGACACTACATTTTGAAACGTGATTGATACAGTGTGGATGAATTTTTTAAACATAGACTTTTTGCAGGGAAATACTGTATTATGCGGTCATGCTTGAAAAGTAAATCTAAAGTTTGTTTGTTTGTTTGTTTGTTTGTTTTTCTCTCTAGTATTACTTTACCGTTCTTTTTGGCCATGAGGGTCAGAAACCTCTGGAGCTGCGCTGTGATGAGGAGCAGGATGGTAAAGAGTGGATGGAGGCCATTCACCAAGCCAGGTAGGGATTCACGTCCTCTGTGTGACACGAGGTTGGCTGGGTCTCTCGCACTGAGGTTTTCAATGTTGGCTGTAGTTCTGGAAGAACTGGCAATTCTAAGATGGGTTTCCCATTGGTATCTCCTTTTTAGTGATGTGTGAAATGATACTTTGAGCTTTCTATGGCTATATTCTAGCCAAAGATGAAAAGTAATAAATATATAAAAATAATAATAATACAAACTATGGAAAGAACCTAGATGTCCATCAACAGATGAATGGATTAAGAAGAGGTGGCATATATATATATATATATATACACACACACACACACACACACACACACACACACACAATGGAATACTATGCAGTCATCAAAAGAAATGAAATCTTGCCATTTGCGATGACGTGGATGGAACTAGAGGGTATTATGCTTAGCGAAGTGAGTCAGTTGGAAAAAGACAACTATCATATGATCTCCCTGATATGAGGAAGTAGAGATGCAACATGGGAGGTTTGGGGGGTAGGAAAAGAAAAAATGAAAGAAGATGGGATGGGAGGGAGACAAACCATAAAAGACTCAATCTCAAAAAACAGACTGAGGGTTGCTGGGGGTAGTGGGGACGGGATAGGGTGGTGGGGATATGGACATTGGAGAAGGTATGCGCTATGATGAGTTCTGTGAAATGTGTAAACCTGGCGAGTCACAGACCTGTACCCCTGGGGATAAAAACACCTTATATGTTTATTTAAAAATTAAAAAAAAAAAATAATAATGGGTCACTTTTGTGGATTGTTCCTATATGCCAGGAACCCTTCTAAGTGCTTCTCAATGAAGGCATTTATTCAGTGTATTGATTTGCTTATCCTCTCAATAATCTGGGGTTGGGTCTTATAAATACCCCCTTTTACAGAGAAGGAAAATGAAGCTGGGAAGGTTGGTTTGCTTGTCTGAGGTCACACAGCTGGTAAGTGGCAGAGCTGGGATACAGACCCAGCCAAGCCCACGTTTGTAAACCCTGCCCCGGGCAGCCTGGTTATCAAGAGGGGTGATGCTGACTCGGTCTGGGGAGATAGAAGAGTATGATTTTATTTCCTCCCAAGAAATACCAAGAAGGTAGAAAGAACTTACTTGGCCGCAAACAAGAACAAGAAATCTGAGAGGTAGCTCCCTCTCTCATTTTTCATATTCATTTCTGAAGTTCAGCCCATTTTTGCTTCTAATAGCTCCCATGCTCACTGCTTTCCTGTCTGTCTCCTCCTTCATCCAGTCTCTGGTCACTCTGTAAGTCCCTTCTTACATCCCCGCTGCTTCTGGGGCAAGACTCCAGCTGGGGCACATCTGCTTTTCCTTCCCCTGACATGCCTCTACTGCCCCTGTCCCTGAAACTGTCCCCCACAAGTAGCTCTCACAGGCCCTTCTCCAGATTGTTGCAGCTCTTGCTTTGCCACATGTAGAATATTTAGCGATTTAGCACAATTTATGTTTTTTTTTATTATTCTTTTTTTTAATTTTTTTTTTACATATTTCCTATGTGTGATTTATGTTTCCTGAGCTGGATTGCATGCACCTTGAGAATGAGGAGGAGGTGGCTTCATTTCTGAACAAAGCACAGTGCTAATTATGTAGTTGGTGACCAAGAACTATTTTCAGACTGTAAAGAGGATGGGGCATTTGTTCCGAGTTTAGATTCTTCTCGAATCCTTGAGATTTTTTTCTCTCCTCCCTTCCCCACCCCTCTTTTTCTCTTCTACTACTTTATATTGACCACCTACCGCCTCTGTGTCAGGCAGCATGCTGAGTACTTTCCATACGTTGTTTATTCCTCACAGCTACCCACTTTACAGATGAGAAAACAAAGGCTCATGATTATTAAGCAGATTGGCCAACATCTATCATGAAGTTGTTAAGCTGCAGAGCTGGGCTTCACACTGAGATCAGTCTGACTCCAGAGCCTTTTAACCAGTGTTTTGGGTTATACCTGTCTTCATTCTCTTCAGTCGTCTCCTTTTCTATTCAAAGATGCAAAGAGGTTAATATAAAGTCAGGGTTGAGAGTAAAAAAGATATTATCCGCAAAATATTTCAGTTCTTTTTCTTTCCTCCCCTTCAAAATATCTCTTTGAGAGGCACAGGATTGGCGACCAAATGCTGCTCTCCGAGGGCGCCCCTGGGGTAGCTTGTCCACACCATGATCCTGGCACACGGTTCAGCTGTCTTTTCTGTCATTGTTTCTGTCTGACGGCTTTGCTCCAGACTTTACTGTAATGACAGTGACTCGCTATAGAAAGAAGGTCAGGTCTTCAGAGGTGAAGAAAGTATCAAGTTGGCAAGGTAGAACTCTTGGGTTCTTTCTAGACACAATCTCTGTGTAATTCTTTCCTACCTGGGAATTAAAATGAAGTATGTAACTTAAAACATGTGTCTTTGCTCCCCAACCCCCTGCCTTTTTTCATTCCAGAAAAGTGAGATACTATTAGTAACCTAAATACCTTACTTTTGTAGTTGCCAAGCAAATACTGGGGTGGACCAAGTACAGAGTATGCATTACTTCAAAAATGGTTCAATTTTAAGTGAGTTTTTCTTTTTTTCCTATACCATGAGAACTTTGTCATGTATGTAGGTAAGGGTCAGTATTCGGGGTTGATTGACATATGATCGATTAGGGCACTTGTGGTCTTATCAGGAGACAGACTTTAGAAACTGCTTTAGTGGTTTAGGTGACCAAATGATCAAAATTTTCTTCTCTCGTGGATATGAAGATTTAGTTAAGAATTGATTTTTTAAAAAATTTTGGTTCATTGGATTTGCTTTTCCTTTGATTTGAGGCCCAGAACTGGGTTCTTTGATGACTTCTTTTTAATCAGATTGCTTTATACTTGAGTTCTTGTATTTGACTTTTTTGCACTGAGATGCTTCTTCAGTCTTGTTTTGTAAATCAGGGAAGATGACAACTTTTCCCTTTAACTTTAAGTTGAGTGTTTGGTGTGAACTTGGTTCTGTGAAAGTCATTCTGACTGTTCATACATGTGCAGAGCCAGAAAGTTAATGAAGATGACTCACAGAAAGAGTTTGTCAGCCAGTGTCGTTTGGCATTGGGCTAATTACACAACCGATCAGTTGACTAAAAATTTCACCTTTTGAGGACAGTCTGATGGCGTTAATTTGGTGCCACTGCTTTTTAAATAGAAAATGCTCAATAATTATGGTTTTACTTTTTTTTTTTTTTTTTTTACTCTTTTTAAAAGTCTGAGCTGTTGGTTAACTGATGACTATTTTAGCCTGAGACCAGGTCTTTTCTGAGTATCCTGCCGACCCTTCTCCTGGTCTCTGCTCAGAGAAACCCTTCTGCTCAGAACCCTTCTCCTGGTCTCTGCTCTTTTCCTGAGATGTCTTCTCAGTACTGGCTTGGGCATGCTGCCCTCACGTGCCATGCAAATCACATTCTTGCCGCTCACTTTTACACCTCCGAGCTGAAGCTACTTGCTCTAGCTGGCCTTCAGAGGATCTCTGGGTCATTTTCTGGGATGCTGTATTGCATGTTTACTCCCTTTGACGGGGCCCAAGGAAAAATCTTTTTGGAAATTATATTCTCATTTCAAAGTTCTGACGGGGTCCAGAAAGCTTGTTTTACAATTTTTCTTGAAGTTGGCCAATACTACATTTCTAAAACACTCGCACATTTCTACTATCGTTCCATCACTTATTACTGGCACCAGTTCATGGGAAGCTGCTAGCAGTCTTATTTTTGTCTGGATGGGGAGAGGCCAGAGCATTTTAATGGCATTGAAATTCTATGCTTATTCCATAAGTGGTTTGGTAGTTGAGTATGGGACTCCGGATAGTCCTAATAACCTGATTTTTCTTGCTGTTGTTGTGGTCTTGGTCATGTCTGTTTACTGTGGTTGATTTACTCATTGACATTAGGACAGTCAAAAACAATGACTCAGTTAATTGTGAGTCCTTAGGGCTCACTGATTGAAAAGACAGCATCCACAGCAAGTTTTCTCCACTCGTCTTCTGCTGGAACGCTATCCAAGCAAAGCTTCAGCAGTTAGAAGGTGGTTATAGCCTGGAAGAGGATCTAGGTATGCAGAGAGGTACCAAAGCTCTTCCTGTTCTGGTTGAAGTGTAAGACCCAAAGGACCTGGTCTGTGACAGTTGAGGAAGTGACAGAAGAGGAAAGTATTCCAGAGATGGGGTGGAGGATAGACCTCCTCTAGGTCTCTGTGACTGTCTGCATGTGGGCCGTATTACATCAGGAGGTTATCTAACGCATCTCTCAGGCCCCTAGCGTGGAGAATGTCACTTGCTGGAGAAGAAATGATGAATGAGAGCAGGTTTGTAGGGCAGAGATGATGAGCGCTGGGCGGGAAGGGCCTCTGTGGGGAGTTGGAGGGTTTGTGTGCCTGGAAGTGGTGCTGAGGATCCCTTCTGAGGGCTCTCCTTGCCTTTGCTGTATAAGATATGAGAAAGTGAGTATTAGAAGTTACTAGAGATGTGAGGTGTGTCCTGAGGGGAAAGCTGGCTTTGGGTTTCTACCAAAGCTGAGGTTAGGGGAGGACTTGTGAAAAGTTGGAGATGTAGAGAATATTATGCCTGGTACGGCGCACCACGGAATGTCCATGTCTTTTTCTTTTTTCTCCCTGGAAAGGTATGGCTTATGCTTTCAGTGTTTGGGACTGTCCTACTGTATCTTTTGCCTGCTTTCTATTTTTTTTCCAACTTTAATTCTGTTCAGACCCCCCTCTTGACTCTCCTCCCTCCTCTTGGTGTGTGCCTGTGTGAGGTAAATCTTAGGCTTTTCTCAGTGGTGAGGGCATTTGCAAGTGAAAAGGAGGTGGGTGTGTGCTTCCATCCCGTAAAACTCCTGTCAGATTTAGTTTGGCAAAGGCTCTACAAAACCTGTTAGCTCACCCTGTCAGTCCTGACTTAGAGAGACTTATCTTCCAGTTAACTCTTTCAGGGAAGTTCTGTGTGTCCACTAAAGAAAGCCCTAATATAGCCTCCTGGGTCTATGTT